CGATTGTTGTTAAAAACAAAGGTTCAACACATACTTGCAAACTCTTCTCGACATTCCCAAAGAGGAACAGCAGTAGTTGGCCGTCTGGTGTGTCCATTCGATTGCGTGTAGCTGACGACGCGTCTTCTTCATCCATTTCAAGGCCTTTCATGAAATCGGTGAACAAATCTGTGGCATTCCGGCTACGATCTGTGGCATTCCGGCTACGATCTGTGGCATTCCGGCTACGATCTGTGGCATTCCGGCTACGATCTGTGGCATTCCGGCTACGATCTGTGGCATTTCGGCTGCCTGGGGCTCCCTCCAAAACTATTTTGTACACGACTCGGACGGCCATAGCACATACTGTGGTGGCAAGAAGTGTGAAATGATAAGTAGATATACATTCTATAAATAGAATTATGGTATAGGTGCGTATAGGGAAGCGCATTACCAGACTTGATAATAAAACAAACATCTCTATACCTACGAACAGTATTGTACTTAACATTTAAATGTTATGTCCATGACCAGAGCTATGTGCCTTGTACCACCACTGATGGCAGTCACTTATAGGCGCTCGTACAAAACCCTAAACCATAAGTCACGTATAAGCCTCATACACATATATCTACAGATCTGTACATTGAACAGAGTGGCAGGGGATCAAACCCTAAACCCTAAAACCCTAAAACAATGAAAGGAGCAGCCATATGAACTCCCCTAATACATCATATAGCTTAGGTTTTTTTTTACATATAAAAGATCTTATACATTGTTGCCAGAAGCTGCCTGTTAAGCCGTTCACATAGAACAACGCTACCCAATACGTGGACCACGTGTAAGCAGTGGTAAATATACTGCGCTAAGTGTACTACGGCAAGAGTGAGTGAGTGCACACACATCAACACACCAGTACAAACGTAACCGTGGTTGTGACGGTGGATGTGTCTTCTTCTACATGAGAGAACACAAGAGAAGGCCATTGTTCATTTGCGACATGTTGCGTACGCGTATACAGAATAAAATAGCAGTTATATGTAGATATGAATACATCGTATTATGCAATAAGTGCACACACTAAGTATATACATACAAACAGGAATGTGATCATATACTTGATTACACAAAAGTATCTATAGGTCAAATGCACACAATACGTATACGTAGATACGTAAAAACAGAAATGTGATCATATACATGACAACACAAAAAGTATTTATAGATTGATATAAACACCCGCAATAACATAACACATACAATTGAATCTATAGGTTGATATAAACTCCCCCGATAACATAACACATACAATTAAATCTATAGGTTGACAAAGTACGCGTATACAGAATAAAATACCAGTGGTATGTAGATATAA